CTGCTGTAAAATACTTCTTTTATTGGCAGCTAACTTTTTCCCATAAGCCAAAACAAAAGTTTTAAATTGAGCCTTAAGGCAATCCCAGTCCGAAAGAGACAAATCAGCCTGAACATGTAAAGAGTCCCAAAACTTTTGAAATTCCAATATAAATGATTTGTCTTTGAGTAAGGAATTGTTAAATTTCCAATAGCCAGGTCCTACACAGATACAATCAACAACCTCCAAATCTAGAACACAATAATCGTGATCAGAAATGGAACATGGTTGCACATCACAACTTTTTATAACCAATTCTAAAGGAGCAGGGATGTAAAATCTATCTAGCCAACAGCTAACATTTCCACCTCGCCATGTTGTTATAACTTTACTTTTATGTATTGACCGAAAAGGGTCGACTAATTTATACGAAGTTATAAAACGTTTCAGAATCGTTGCCCCCCCCCCCTCACCCCGTACCACACTTAGGATTCCCCCCAACTTTATCTAAATCAGTTCATAACACGAAATTAAAATCTCCCCCAAGAACAACAAGGCGACGAGTAACAAGATGATTTTCTATAGATAATAAGAAATCCCTTCTATCTGAATAATAATTAGGAGCATAAATATTATTGAATCTAAAGCAAGTATTATCAATATCCATATCTAACACCAAGAGCCTGCCATCAAAATCATAATGAAATTTTACAATATTATAATTCAATTTTGTGGAGATTAAAATACCGACCCCACGTGCATTTCCCGTCCCAAAACTCCAGAAGGCTTTACATTCAAATTCTTTCTCTGCAGTCTCTCCTTCTTTCACACAGGCAACATGACATTCTTGCATAAATGATACATCCACATTCATTCTCTTCCACTCCTCACATAACACACGCCTTCTGGTCCCTTCCCTGATACCGGCACAATTTGTAGTTACAAATCTATTCATTTTTAACATTCAAATAAACAAACTATACACAAGCAAATGAAGGGTTCTCCAAGTAATATTTGCCAAACTGCTGATCATATATACATTACAAATATTTACATGCCTAAGAAAGAAAAATGGAGTTGAAAATACTCACAAAATATTAGAATTCCAGGCCACAAGCCGTAAAGACACAATAATCCGTGATCGATAATCATAGTCCAGGGGCATCTCCAAATCGTTAACGTTAGTTCACAATACATTTCACACCAATCAAGTTATAACACTACCTGGGCTTGGAGAGCCATCTGAATCAACATTGTGGGGCGGGTGACCTTGCCAGTGTAATAATTCCCGTCTATGAATATCATCCATGGTGTCCATCACAGTTCTTGCAGACTTCTCCTTGGTCTTTATTGGTGACGTGGTCTCTTCCGTGATGGAACACGGTAACAACGATAAGTTTGATTCCTCTCGCGGCTGTTCCTGAGAAGTTGACGTCTCCGTTGGAGAAAAAGTGGCTGATCCCTCAGCTCCCTCGGGGGCTGACCAGTCCTTGCGAGCAGAGCTGGTGTCTGCTGTGTCCTCTGTCTCCTCTGCTGGCACTTCCTCATCCTGGAATTCATCATTCTTCTTCTGGTTCTTTTTTTTCACCATATCCGAATAGCTGGATGTCATCCTTGGTAGAGCTGGATAAGTGGTCTTGGCTCTGTTCACACAATCCTTCCTCACATGACCGACCTACTCACACTTTAAACACAAAGGAGATCGGCCTGCCACAGTGAGAAATAACTGGAAGGTTGATAAATCCGAAGCAACAACAGTCATTAAGTGAGGTCTGCTTCTTACATCCTCATGTGAACACTCTAATACTACCTCGTAAGTGCCAAGGAGGACGTTCTCAAGTCTTGCCTCTTTACTTCTTTCCTTGAAAGCAGCCATTACTTTTCCATAGCGAGATAACAGTCTTTCCAGGAATGCTGTGCCAAACTCCTCTGGCAACCAGTGAACTCGGATGGATGTCTTCACCCTATTAACCAAGCAGAACTCCACAATAAGCCTCTGCGACAGTCTCTGAAAAGTCAAGCCATGAAGAGTAATGGCATGGTCACTTGAAGAGACCATCACAAACCATTCATTCCCTTTGTCTCTTCGGGCAATCCTTTCAACAACAGCTCCAGGTCCCAAAGATCCAAGAATTAATTCACAGACAGCCAGCCTTGATACCTTGAAACGATTCATTCCCAAGAATGTAAGCCTCACTACGCGATCTCGTACATCCTTGTAAGTTTCCACAATCCTCGGGCCATTATTGACAGAAACAATGGCTCCTCTCGACATCCTGAGATGGGTGGTGACCGAAGTCAAGGCACTTTAAAAAAGTACCTTCCACCCGTAGACCTGAAAAAAGCTAACAAATACTCACGCAGTGCCAGGTAAGTATGCTTTTCCCTGGCCGCAGTTTTCATTTACATCTTCCTGGCTTCACCCCACTCGGGTGTCTGTTAAACAACGCTTCACATATATTCCATGACAGGTTTCTTGTTCATACTGTTTAATGTACAGGACACTGCATTAGCACATTCACATTATGAAAAAATAACTGATAGATAAAACCACACAGAACGGGATTTATTTACATTTAAGCTGTATAAACGCTCTCCTCATGTCCGGGACGCAGGGGAGACAACTTGACAGTCAAAACACAACTGGCTCTCAATGGGATCCCATCTGAAATATATTCAAGTCAGAGTTGAATGAAATAGATTCTTTTGCTTAAGTATATAGCTTGACACATACACATACAAGGTATAGAGTTTGAAAACCTCCCTGGAAAAACAGTCATCTGTAAGTGACTGAAGGGGGAAAAGTTTTTTAGTAAAATTTCTATTTTTTGTTTGTTTTTCCAGGGGAGAGCGCGAACACAGTCACCCGCACTTATAAACTGCGCACCCTAGTCGTCCACATTTGGGACGATCGCAGGGGTCAACCAAGCCGATGTGCAATGGAAAGGTCTCGCCCCGGGCCCATAGCCTTGCTTTTTTTTTTTTTTTTTTTTTTTTTTTTAATAAAGTTTATTCCATTAATCACTTTACATTCGCAGACAGTGCACTGGCCATCACCTCAAGAGAAATATCACAGATGTGAAGTGATGGCCGCTAGCATAAAAAGTCTAAAGAAAGAGAACATTAATTCATAAAACTGTTGATGTCTTATGGACGTACTTTAAACCTGAAAACTTCTTCTTTGCTGAAATTGAAGTCATGAACTATGTAAGGCACATTAGACGGCACAATTACCCTGTTTGCTTTGTAAGCTAACAGATCGTAGAGTCTTTGTTTGTAGTCACACACTTGTTTCTCTGTTTTTCCTTGTATTCTGTATAAGTCATTCACTGAATCTAAATCACTGTCTGAAATCTGAACATGTGCATCACGAGAGTCCTTTGTCATGTAGAGCCTGGTTCTAACTTTCCTTTTCTTCTCTACTGGCCATCCTGAGTATAACTGTGAACGTTCTGGCACACTAGGAGACACACTTTTCTTCTTCTTTACATCCTTCTGATTCTTCTCAATATCTGGGGACTGCACAGGCTGTTTTCTCTTTGAGTCTTTCTCCTCTGGAACCGGTTCTGGGGGTTGTGTCACTGTAATGTCTGTCATTTCCGTTGATACAAGTTTCTCTGCTGGAACAGTAATCACAATGTCTGTAGTGTCAGGTGTTTCCTTAAGGCTAGCCACACTTTCCATATCATCCTCATCTGTATCACTGTCTGCTGGAGTCACAACTGTCTGTTTCCTAGTATCCTCTGTCTGTGAACCTTGTACTGTACTGTTGGAAGGACACTGTGCCCTTACATGTCCGGATGAGTGGCACCGTAAACATATCGGGAGGCGGCCTGGAGCAGTGATCAATATGGATATCTTATCACCAAAACGGACAATATGCGGAATATTGTCCTTTTCCTCTTCTGAGAGTTCCATTTTAATAATCCTGACACCAGAAAACACTTTCATATCATCCACATCCACGAATTCACGAAGCCGTCTGTCACTTTTCCAAACTGTGAAAAATACTTGTGAAGGAACGATGATTTTACTGTAGCATGCAGCCTGTGGATTCTCAGTGTTGTCGTGAAGCGTCCATATTCATAAAAGTATATCCTGTCCTTTCCCAGCGTAACACTCTGCAGATCAGTAAGACTTGTAGTTGCTTCAACTGTGTCCATGGTCAGAAAAACGTTGCCAAAACGTTCTGTTTTCCATATCCCAGAGCAGCTCCCAGTGGGAAAACTAGGAACGGCAGACTTCAAAAGGGCAAGGTACTCTTTAACTGTAGACACTCGGCATGTAGTATAAACTCGAACTGTCCTGGTCTCTACTTCCTTGTCAATAAACTCATCAGGGATGGGTTCAGCGCAGACTGTAATACTTGTATCCATGGTGAAGGAGGGGAGACAATTAAATGCCACACAGTGCTAGACTGATGCCACCTCGTAGACCTGGGGAAAGAAGAAAGTCAGTACACAAAATCCACAATCTGTTAACTAAAGTCTGTTACACTCCATAAGGAGACGATACCACCTAAGGATCACGTAAATCCTGTGCCAGGTAAGTATGCTTTTCCCTGGCCGCAGTTTTCATTTACATCATCCTGGCGTCACCCCACTCGGGTGTCTGTTAAACAACGCTTCACATATATTCCATGACAGGTTTCTTGTTCATACTGTTTAATGTACAGGACACTACATTAGCACATTCACTTTATGAAAAAAAATACTGATAGAGAAAAACCACACAGAACGTGGTTTATTTACATTTAAGCTGTATAAACGCTCTCCTCATGTCCGGGACGCAGGGGAGACAACTTGACAGTCAAAACACAACTGGCTCTCAATGGGATCCCATCTGAAATATATTCAAGTCAGAGTTGAATGAAATAGATTCTTTTGCTTAAGTATATAGCTTGACACATACACATTCAAGGTATAGAATTTGAAAACCTCCCTGGATAAACAGTAATCTGTGAGTGACTTTGAAGGGGGGAAAGTTTTGAAGTAAAATGTCTATTTTTTAGTTTGTTTTTAAAGGGGAGAGCGCGAACGCAGTCCCCCACACTTATAAATTGCGCACCCAAGTCGTCCACATTTGGGACGGTTGCAGGGGTCAACCAAGCCGATGTGCAATGGAAAGGTCTCGCCCCAGGCCCACAGCCCTTTTTTTTTCTTTTTTTTAATATAAAGTTTATTCCAGGTTCACTTTTACATGTGCAGACAGTGCATTTCAACCTTCATCTCTATGTCTTAAAAAATCTTTCCGGGATCGTTTCGGCACGGCAGTGAATGTGGCCAGTGACTGCCTGGTAATGGGTGTTGTCTCATTGTACACCAAATTACCTCCACGTGACCCATCAGAGTCACAGTTTAAGCCTGTGCAAGAGGATGAGCGGATGGTCGAAGATCACCTGGTATAAGACCAGTAAAATGTGACTGACAATCAACCTTTTGCTCTCAGCAAAAGCAACTGACATCACCAATTTGCAGTAAACTGATATAATTCTTGCCTGGGATATTTGGTGTTCCTCATCTATCAAGAAGTTATATCAAGAAGTTGACAACCTTTTTCTCCCATTATCAGACACAGAGCCCCCAAAACCATCCTCCCCACCCCCCCAACAAAAACAACAACAAAACAAAATACAAAATAACAATACAAAAAAACACACCAAAAACCCAACATTTTTATTAATCCAAAAGTTACTTTAGATATTTTCCTGAAAATGCTATATTCAATGCAAATGATTTTTAACTCAATGTGAAAATGTATTTAATTTTGATTATTTTAATGCGAAATTTGAATAATGTGAGGAAAATGCTATAATCGAAAATTAAACAATATTATTAATTATACCTCTACAGTGTAGTGTATCCTATACAATCTGCGTGAGTGAAACTGCTGCTCGTGTTACCAAACATCCAGCGATATGCGTAATAAAGTCGATAGAATCAGGCATGAACAAGGTACCGTAAATGTAGACAAAATAGTATCAGCTCCCGGGTCAGAGATAGATAGACTAGAGGCGTTCACAAGACTTCTATGGTCTACCTGAACAGCAAAATGAATTGTTTGAGTCGTGTGAGGATTACATCGTCTCAGTTTTGAATCAACATGTGAAAATTAAGGAGTGGAATAGAGGCGGTATTTTAATAATAATAATAATAATAATGTGGGTATTTATATAGCGCTACATCCAGGTACTAATACCCGCTCATGGCGCTACAATACTATAGGAGAAAAGAAAATAGGTAAAACTATTCACAGAGAGACAATTGAACATAGAAAGTCTAGTAATAGGCAAGACGAAAAAAGTGGGTTTTTAGAGACGATTTAAATGTGTCCAAAGATTCAGCATTCTTGACGTGAGGGGGCAAGTTGTTCCAGAGACTGGCGACTGCGTGTTGGAATGATCTTTTCCCATAGGATGAGAGTCGAACTTTAGGAATGACAAGTAGCTGGTGATTCTGGGATCGTAATGGCCTGGTTGGAATGTACTGACACAGAAGACTGGAGAGGTATTCAGGTGTTTGTCCATGTAGAGCTTTGAAAGTGATACATAGAATCTTGAAGTTAATCCGGAATTTGACAGGCAACCAGTGTAGAGATATCAGTGAAGGTGTGATATGATCTTTCTTGGACTTGAGGCGGGCGATGCGAGCTGCTGAGTTCTGTAATTTTTGAAGTTTCTGAAGTTGAGTTGAACTGATGCCAAAGTGCAGACTGTTGCAATAGTCGAGTCGAGAGAGTATAATGGATCGAACCAAAGAAAGAGCACATTCTGTTGTGTTGAGATTTCTAATGGAGCTGATGGTTCGCAGATAATAATGACAGTTCTTATAAACATGGTTCCAAAGACAAACTTGCATCAAGATATACTCCAAGATCCTTAGTGACAGGGGAAGGTTGAATGTGAGATGTTGAAATCTTCACATTGCAGATGGAGGTTTTCTGTAGCTGTTTGGAATTTCCAAGGACGAGCAACTCCGTTTTGTCATCATTCAGTTGGAGTTTCCTTGTGTTCATCCAGGTCTTTATGTCGGAAACGCAACTGTCTATGATCTGTAGATCAGTGACTGGAGATTGCAGATTAAGAATCCTGGTAACCTGATTGTCATCAGCATAGGCATAGTGCCCACAGTCATGAGAGTTGATAACTGCGGGAGGAGAGTTAACATATAGCAAGAAGAGAATGGGACCAAGGTCCGAGCCCTGGGGCAAGCCATATGTTAACTCTACTTTGTCAGACCTATGATTCTGAACTTTTACAACCTGTGTTCGCTGTAAATTTTAAGGGCGCATCGCATAGGTAGAAACTCCAGACCCGATAAACCAAGAGAGTTAACATATAGCAAGAAGAGAATGGGACCAAGGTCCGAGCCCTGGGGCAAGCCATATGTTAACTCTACTTTGTCAGATCTATGATTCTGAACTTTTACAACCTGTGTTCGCTGTAAATTTTAAGGGCGCATCGCATAGGTAGAAACTCCAGACCCGATAAACCACGCCCACTTATAGCCAAGTTCAATCTGACTGATGAGAAAACCCTCCGAACTCAACATCGAGACACGCTGAGAAGTAACGGGATAGGCGTAGCTAACGATCTCACAGAGACACGTTGAGAAGTAGCGGGATAGGCGTATCTAACGATCTCAGAGAGAGACACGTTGAGAAGTAGCGGGAAAGGCGTGGCTAACGATCTCACAGACAGACGCGTTGAGAAGTAGCGGGATAGGCGTAGCTAAAGATCTCAGAGAGAAACACGTTGAGAAGTAGCGGGATAGGCGTGGCTAACGATCTCACAGAGAGACACGTTGAGAAGGAGCGTGATAGGCATGGCTAACGATCTCACATGATAGGCATGGCTAACGATCTCACAGAGAGACACGTTGAGGAGTAGCGGGATAGGCGTGGCTAACGACCTCACAGAGAGACACTCTGGCTGACCTTCGCAGTAAAGGACTCGATGCCTACAAGAACAGTAGACTGGAAACAAGATCAATTAACCCTCTCAGTGCAAGGCAGCGATACATCTTGCAGACTCCTTTAAGCAAAGCCTGTGTAGGCGTCGCTACTTACCTCTGGACGTATACAAGTCTCCAAACATGATGAAGTTTATAAATCTTTTACAAACCAAAGTTGAAGTATTAACCTTTAACTTAGCCAAATTTGTTTATCATATATTTCAGATAAAGCAAAACTATAATCTGAATTATCCATGAATGTTTATCTTCTTTTTAGTGCTATCTTTTGTCACGAAAGGTCTTTGTAAGGGGGTTGAGTGGGAAGGCAAACCTTGGCAACCTGCTTTTGAAAGTATGTATAACGTATTTTTCATGTTGGCCGTTGGCCTATTAAAGAAATAAACATAACGAAGATTATGTGTCTGGAGGTCCTGCTCTGAACAAACCACAGACACTGACGTCATCTCCGCACACGGCGGCTCCACAGGTCTGACCCCTGGGTCCACATCAACCCCCACCCCCGGGAGACAGCAGTTAGCCGCGGAGTCACCGCCCGACCCCGAGGGGAGCTCTGCTATGGAGGATGGTAGCTAGGGCCTGGTCCATATGTCACACACAGAACAACCAGGCGCTGAGTTATTGGACTCTAATTCCCTACTTAAATATGTAACTTGGAACATCGAAGTATTTCTATCCAAAATTGATGACACTGATTTTATCGAATACCTTTCAAGCTTCCAAATTATATGTCTTGTAGAAATTTGTTCTCGATAAGGGTATAACACTTCCCCAACTAAATGCGGATGATCCATACTTAGCAAAACCTTATAAGATTGCCAAGACTGGTAGACTCTCGGGTGGAGTTATACTGCTTGTGCACAACTCAATTGCAGACTACTGTCAACAAATAGAGACCAGTTAAAGATGTATTATTATTTGGAATGTATACTCCATCGGGTTGGCTCCACATTTTATATTACAGCTAAAAAAACCACAGCTATAGATTAGCTGGACCACTGTCTGAGCGACAACACTGATCTCTGCTGTGAGGTGTTGATATGTGGAGACTTGAAGACACGTGTAGGCGAGTGGAACAACCCGCCAGAGACACTGCATAAACCATGACTAGACACAGCGGCCTTTCCTGAAGAACAGACTGTCCGCATGTAGACAATAGGCAGTCATGTGACAAGACCACCAACATAAATTTGGTGAGCAGTTGCTTGACCTGTGTTTTACCCCATAATGTATACACATTTAACGTTAGAGCAACCGGAGATTGTTACGGTAATTTTAGGTATATATCTCAGCAAGGTTGCAGTGTTGTAGATTATTTTATTGCTTCTGTCAATATGCACCAGTTATTCCAGAGTAGAATTGAAACATATGCCAGTTTGTCTTAATTTTATGAAATCAGCTGATAATGACAAGATTCCTTCTGACTGTAACAACCTCCAGAGTTATACATATAGATGGAACTGCTCCATGTCTGAAACATTCCTAAACAAATTATCTCAGTCATGTCCGTTACTCACAGATTTGTCAATGCTCATATATCCTGATTTTAATCTTGCTGTTAGCAAATTTGCACATATTGTTTTATCCTCTGCTGATTGTATGAGGAAGCCATGTGAAAGTGGTAAACCGGAAAGAGTGAGTGAGTGACTTTGGTTTAACAGCAATATTCCAGCAATATCACGGCGGGGGACACCAGAAATGGGCTTCATACATTGTATGTTGGGAATCGAACCCGAACGCTTTTATGTTTTATAACATTGATTGTGTTCTATCCATAGGAACCTGCATTCGTCACTACTCGCCCCTTTCCGTTACCTCCAAAAAGACTCGTCCCCATCTCGATGCTTGCGAAAATACGACAAATCAATCAGAACGAGCCTTATAATTGCCGTGCTTTGATAAAAAATAATCCCCAGTACTTACATCTAGAACAAGTATATATGGCTGACAACTTCTTTAATTCTAGAACATAAGTGATATATATACAACAGAAGACTGTACTTTCCCGGTACCATTCATACTTGAAAACGATACAAGTACCTGTATCGAAACATCGTGCTCTAAAATGAAAGAACTTGTCATCCATATATGCTTGTTCTATCTCACTTCCAACTTCTAAAATGCCACTGAAAGAAGTACTTACAGCGGTTATGGCATTATGTCATCAGTTAATAAAAATCATTAAAAATATATATAAATCGTGTAGATTTTAGTAAGGATAGTGC